GTGTGTGTGTGTGTGTGTGTGTGTGTGAGAGAGAGAGAGAGAGAGAGAGAGGGGTTAAGATAAAAGAGTACGTAACAGTAAATGACAAGGAAGGGCCAATTGAAAGGGAGGAAGAAGAAAACCCAACGGGCCTTGCTCAGTCGGTAGATTCATGAACTGTCGAAATACGGACCCGAGTTCGAATTCAGAACTAAGGCAAGCAGATTGACAGAATAAAATAAGTAATTCTGAATTACCTGGGGCAGGTCAGTTCAATGTTGCTATCTCAAGGCTGTCGCCCTCACAAAAAAAGGAACAAAAAAAAAAGAAAGAAAGGGGAAGAAAAAAGGATGTCCTGCAAAGGACCTGTTTTTGTCCACGAGCCCTTCGTTTCTTTGAGAGAGCGCAAAGCGGCAACATGTCATCTATTCGAGTTATTAGTATTCTTATTCTTATTTTCTTATTTTTATTTTATATATATATACGTTCAACCATCTCACAGTTCCCGTGTCTTGAATCCTGGCTGGTTTGTCCCGTCGTTTGGCCTGTGCTGTCGGGGGCGGTGTCTGGATGTGGGACTTGTCATCTAGGATTCGTTTGCCCCCTGTTCTGTAATGTTTGGCTGTTCCCTTCCTCTTTTCTTTGCCTCTTCGCCTTTTGGCTGTGTGGAAGTGGGTCGATATGACACACGGGGGTGGGGGCAGCCGCCGCTCAACCTACATCCACGTGGGCGGCCTTGTACGCCAGAGGCGCTGAACAGGGGGAGTCTTGTAAGGAAGAAGATAAAAAATGAATTTATTTCTTCTTTTTTTCGCATTTGCGCTCTGATAAATTTGTGACGATATATATATAGATATATAGATATATAGATATATGTAGCTGCCCGTAGGCAGAGAGGGAGGAGGGAGAAGAGGACATGTTGTCAACAAACGAGGGAGGGGCTGTGACAGACAAACTGTTTCGTCGGCGTTTCACCTCCCTACTCATCAGGAGGCTGAACCCTATATGTCTATATATAGATATAGTTAGATATCGATATCTTATCTGTATATGTCCTCTTCTCCCTCTTGTCCCTCTCTGCCTACGGTTTACCGGGAAGCTCTGTTTTACGATATATACATGTATATATATATGGGGGCAGCCAGCGCTCAACCTGTCATCCACGTGGCTGGCCTTGTACGTAAGAGGTTATGAACAGGTGGAGCTTTCCTTACCTCCTTCCCTTTCCCTTTTTTCCTTTTCCTTTTTTCTTTTCCCTTTTTTGCGCTCTGATTCACAATGTGACAATATATACTCCGACGTTGCTAGCTCTCTGCTCTTGCAGATGATGCGGCTAGCGTCGGGCCTGTACTAGCAGGCGCATGCCTTCTCTTATGGCAGATTTTAATTTTCATATTCCTTCTTTTTCTGTTTCTGTTTTTTGTTTTTGTTTTTTTGTTGTTGTTGTTGTTTTTTTTTTTTTTT